CCGCAAAGCTATCACTCAAACCATGAAGAAGAACCCTCTTGAGGAGCCTTTCAAAACCATCACTTTACCCTACATTGCTGGGATCACAAAAAAGATCTCCAAAATCTTGAATAAACACAAGATCCAGGTCCGTTTCAACACATTACATAAAATCCGTGATCTGGTTCCGTCTGTAAAAGATGTGATTCCGGACATACAATACCCTGGTGTCTACAAACTAAGTTGCCTCTGTGGTAGTAGTTACATTGGAGAAACCAAACGCCATGTCTCGGACCGCATTCGTGAACATAAAGCAGACCTTAAACACGGTAGGACCAACACCTCGGCCGTAGCAGATCATTGTTCTAATTCAGTAGGCTCACATGCCATTGACTTTTCCAAGACGGAGGTTCTTTGTAAGCCATCTGGCTTCCATGAGAGATTCGTTCATGAGGCTATCCACATATACAAGCACAGAGACAATTTCAACCGAGAAGATGGATTCTATCTTAGCAATCATTGGAAAGATTTGATAAACCATTTCAGTTCTTAATTGATTGTTCACGCTTACAGTGGCTTTCAGACAGCATACATTATAAAAAAAATTCGTCTCCCCCCTCCTCTTTTCAAAAAAAAAAATAGATGGACTAGTCCTGGGCAAACTGCCAAATCACTGCGCGTGACGCCAACGTTTTTTATAAATAAATAAATGTGCCGTTTCAAAATAAATTTATGCAAACCAACACACCTGATGATGACCGTTTGAGTTATGGTCGAAACGTCGTGAGAATTTTTTATTGTTTTATATATATTTTGTTATTTTGTTGTTTCTCTTCAACGTGACTTTACCGAAAAAACTAAGAATATATACAACAGCTCTCACACACTATCCTGTAGGGGGCGCTGCACAAAGAACGTGGTGCCATCCAGCACTGCCAGTCAGTCCTCACCGAGGCCCTCTAGGACCGGTACTGCACCCACATATACGTGGTGCCCGCAATGTCAATATATCGCACGCCATGCCTCTCTAGGGCCGGCGTTACACAGGGACATCCACGATGTCACTACATTTGTGTACAGTACAGGATAAATGTTAAGAAACATTTCTATTTTCTCCCGTATGTTCAATTCGACACGGTAACATAACTCCCTGGCTGACATCTGGACGTCGCGGCCCTCGTCTGCCGCCAGAGCCTTGACGAGGACTCGACGAAGCAGAAGAGGTTGGCGTTTGCGTTGTAGAAAGTGGACGGTGCACAGAGGCCCGCGGTGCGGGCGTCCACCCACGAGTACCGCTGGAGGCAGCTCGCATTGCCGCTCACCCACGTGGACATCATTTCAAGATCGCCAATGTAGCCGGTGCTGATGAACGTGTTTATCTCGCCTGTGGGGTGGACGCCATGGGACAGGCCGAGGTGCGGAGAGGAGGCGCCAACAAGCCAATGCCCGCACTGATGAACCAGCTTCCCTTAAATAAAATTATAATTACAAACATTAACTTAAAATGCGAACTCGCACTTGCAAACTGAACTGGCAAAGTATTTTGTTCAGCCGAGCGATCTTCCGTGAGATGGAATGAGTCAGTTTCGCGCTGTGAGTGAGTGTTTGTGAATGTGTGTGAAAGTGAGTGTGTGGGAAGGCAAGTTTGTGCACGTGTGAGTGTCTGCATGTGCCACCGTGTGGGTGTGGGAAGCGGCAGTGCAATGTTTAGTGCGCTGCGATATCAATCCGGCAGACCGAGTTCAATTCCTGCTCACGACCAACACCAGTGACGATTATCTGAATGGGTCCTGGTCCACCCCTAGTTCACCTCAAATGAGTGCCTGGTTCGGTGTGTAAACATCACCACTGGGAAGTCAATGATTGTCAATGGTGGCCGGGTGTTGTGCCATGCCGGCCTCATAGGCGTTGCTCTCCAACAACCTGTTAAGGCTATATGGAGGACTAGTGGTAAGTACCCGGCGTTGCCCGGGTCAAAAAATATTTTAGAAAACCTTCCATATACATACACAGATACTACGATATTCTGAAAGCCCAGTGGGCCATTTGTCCATTTCACCACCAACAAAATAATAAGAGGCTTGCCAAAAGTCCAAAAAGTAATAGAAAGTGTGGGGTAAATAGTTGATCTAAAAGGTTTCTGAAAATTGTGGACACCCCCAAAAATATATATATTTACCCCCGCGTAGGTATCTATACCTACACACCATACATACAACAGAGTAAGTAGTATCTCTTGACACTGTAGTTGTATATACTGACTGTACAGTAGTATCTACTGAGCCAGTAGTATCTACTGACTGTGTAGTAGTATTTGCTCATTGTAGCAGTAACTACTGCTATTACAGCAGTGCATACTAGTATTTACTTGGCCTACAGTAGTATCTACCCACTCTATAGTAGTAACGACTAACTGTATAGTAGTATCTGCTGACTATAGTAGTATACACTGACTATAGTAGTAACTACTAACTGTATAGCAGTATCTACTCACTCTATAGTAGTATCTATGACTCCAGCAGCTACTCACCGTAGAAGCATGAACTGATTGTATAGTAGTATACACTGACTGTAGCAGTATGACTGACTGTAGTGGTATATGCTGACTGTTTTAGTATCTTCTAACTCTATAAAGTAGTATCTACCAACTCGATAGCAGTATCTACTGTCACTACAGCAGTGCATACCGACTGAGTGCATACTGGCAGTGGTGGTACCTGCTATGATTACATCAGTGCATACTGTGGTGGAACCTGCTATGATTACAGCAGTGCATATTGTGGTGTTACCTGCTATTACAGCAGTGCATACTGTGGTGGAACCTGCTATGATTACAGCAGTGCATATTGTGGTGTTACCTGCTATTACAGCAGTGCATACTGACTGGTGGTACCTGATATGATTACAGCAGTGCATACTGACTGTGGTGGTACCTGCTTTCGTGATAGCAGTGCATAAAGACTCTGGTGGTTCCTGCTTTCACGACAGCAGTGCATACTGACTGTGTTGGTACCTGCTATAACAGCAGTGCATACTCCTGTGGTGGTACCTGCTATGATTACAGCAGTGCACACCGACGGTGGTGGTACCTGCTATGATTACAGCAGTGCATACCGACTGTGGTGGTTCCTGCTATGATTAGAGCAGTACATACTGTGGTGGTACCTGCTATCACTACAACAGTGCATACTGTGGTGGTACCTGCTATGATGACAGCAGTGCATACCGACTGTGGTGGTTCCTGCTATGATTAGAGTAGTGCATACTATGGTGGTACCTGCTATCACTACAGCAGTGCATACTGACTGTGGTGGTACCTGCTATGATTACAGCAGTGCATACTAACTGTGGTGGTACCTGCTATGATTACAGCAGTGCATACTCCTGTGGCGGTACCTGCTATGATTACAGCAGTGCCTAGTAACTGTGATGGTTCCTGCTATGATTGCAGCAGTGCACACTGCTGTGGTGGTACCTGCTATGATTACAGCTGTTCATACTGACTGTGGTGGTACCTGCTATGATTACAGCAGTGCATACTGCTGTGGTGGTACCTGCTATGATTACAGCAGTACATACTGTGGTGGTACCTGCTATGATGACAGAAGTACATACTGTGGGGGTACCTGTTATGATGACAGCAGTACATATTGTGGTGGCACCTGCTATGATGACAGCAGTACATACTGTGGTGGTACCTGCTATAATGAGAGCAGTACATACTGTGGTGGTGGTATCTGCTATGACAGCAGTACATACTGTGGTGGTGGTACCTGCTATGATGACAGCAGTACATACTGTGGTGGTGGTACTTGCTATGATGAGAGCAGTACATACTGTGGTGGTACCTGGTATGATGACAGCAGTACATACTGTCGTGGCACCTGCTATGACAGCAGTACATACCGAGTGTGGTGGTACCTGCTATGATGACAGCAGCACATACTGTGGTGGTGGTACCTGCTATGATGACAGCAGTACATGCTGACGTTATTTATCTTAAATGTGAAGGGTAAATCTGTGAATGTGTGTGTCTGTTCGAAATGTTAAGCATACTTGGCGACATGCAAGCAAGTTTTGTAAACGGAAATAGGGCGATTTAATGAATCGATTATTGGCGCGCTCGGGTTTTATTTCAATTTAAATTAATGAGTTATGTTTTCATCTGTATGTTATGTTTTTAAGTTTTCAGACGTTTTAAAATATATATTTACCCGCTAGTAGCAGTACATTAATTGACTCTATAGCACAAAGTACTCACCTGACAGATTGCCGTGACGAGGCCTAGTCCCGTGCAAAGCCTCCGGCCTCGCCTAGATTGCCCGGCCGGCCGAGGCTGGGGGATGGGCCGCTACCCCCCCCCCCCCCGCGCTACAATAATGCTATTTTATTGCTATAATTGTCGTATCTACCGAGCCTATAATAGTTAGTGCACACATTGGGGTGGAGGGGGAGAGAAGAGGACGTGACACTTTGATGAATTTACCTCAGCGTCGCGTGTAAATTTATTTGCATTTTAAATGAGCAATGGCGTCTGTGCGTTGCCAGGGGCAACAACTCGCGTCGGCGTTTCGCGCATGCGCAGCAGCGAGCCTGTCGGCAAAAGTAAATAAATAAATAAAGAGGAATCGCACCAAAACGTTAATTTAACCACACCACTTTAAAGGTGACGGACGGCAAAACGGAATAGTCTTTGCCGAGCGGGGGACCCGGGGCGTGCCGCCTAGCAATTTTTTTTCCACGCGAACCTTGCCATCCGAGAGCAAAATCCCTCGCAAGCACGCACGCGCGGAGACTTTTATATATAAGATATAATAATAAAATATATTGTTATTTTATTGTTTCCCTTCTACGTGGTGACTTTACCGAAATAACCAAGAATATGAATCACTGCAGTCACGAAAGCTTTAAATCAAAAGTTTGTAATGTAAATATGCTCCATCACTCTCATCTCAGTGTCTCACATTTTGCGTCTTTCATTGTTATTTTTAATGGGTTACAATCATTATAATTTGTTGCTTTTAAGTGAAACAAATTATGTAACCACACCAACTGTCCACTTAAATCAATGGTAACCTAGTAGTATTGTATTTATTCACAGGTGGTACCAAAACAAAGAGCAATGGAATCAGTGTGCCACGTGTTGATGTGGTGTCAAATGGAATTCAGGTAAACTAGATGCAGTTTGCATGCACATTGAACACTCTTCATTTGTTTAGTATATATGCTTAGGATGAAGCATGCTTTGGAATCCATTGCACATATAAATAAATAACTTAACTCCCATGTTCTCTAATTCACGACCACAATCAGAGTGACACATTGAAACTCATCCAAGAGAATAAGGATACATTCAAGCAATGGATTGGAGCAAATCCATCGCACCTGATAAAATATTTCAAAGAATCACATTCTATTCCACACGAAGTTTGCCAAGCAGCCAAGAACAAGCATGGAGAGGAGTGTGTGGATGTTATACTAGATCACTTCTTTAACCAAGAAGAGACGGCGTTGTGGGAACTGTGGAAAGGTCTCTATTATGTGAGGAGGAACTACGAGCCACTAAAGAGCTGGTTTCAGAAGCACGGTATGACCCACACTAATAATACATCGTGCATATGCATGGGTTATGTACAATTTTACAATGTTAATTTTCAAAATGGTTGAGTACCATAATTAACATATATGTTGCTTGTGCCTTGATTCTGTTGGCACATTTTGGCAGAACAGGACAGTGAATGCGAATACACAATTTGTATGAAAAGATAAATGTAAAATGCATCCAAAGTTATGTTTGTCACAGGTGAGTCCGTGCGGTCCATTAAAGAGAAGAAGTTGGATCTGAAGTTGTGGATCGGTAGAGACTTCCAACATCTGCGATCACAGCTGACGCTTCAAATAAACAATCCTACGAGGCTCTTCATTCGAGCCAAGGGCATGCATTACGATGAGGAGTGTGCAGAGCTAGTGCTCAACAACTTCATATACAGAGGCAATGACGATTGCCTCCAGCTGTTGTTAGCTCTGCGTGGCGTGCAGGATAAGTATCCTGCAGTCAAGCATTGGCTGGACTCTCTTGGTGAGAAATCACTACATTTTAAACGCCTTCCTCCTTTTCATGTAAACAAGTGGAAATATGAACACTGGGTGGTCAAGTGGCCAGTGCACACTCACGAAGGAGTCAGTTAACAGTCTGAACTCAGCTACTATAGCCCTGTAATTGATTTCTACAAGGAATTATCAGCCAAGTTCTATCCACTGCTGAATGAAAACATCCCAAAGCCACTGTTAGTTATGTGATATAATCCATATAGCTCCAGCACCTCAGCTGATTAAACTCCTACATTTCCATGGTGCGTCCATCCTAGGGTGCATTCCCTCCTCTGCCTGCGACTCTATCGCTATTCTCCACCAGTGGGCTCCCAATCATTTTAGTGACCTATCCTTACAACATCCAATTCATTTTCTCAGCAGTCAAAAACATTACATTTTACAATCCACGGTAGGCTATGTACGGTGCGAAAGAAGTTCAACATACAACATACATACATACATGTGTTCCTTTGTCTTTCACTGCAATTAAAATGTGGACTTTGCACGTTTTCCAATCTTTGCTCCTTATTCTTTGTCAAAGTCAACGTTTCTGATCCACGTCATGCCAGGTAATGTGCAGTGAACGAAACTGTTATTCTTCAGGAAAATGGGTGTTACTTTTCCAAAAGCACTCCAACCTCAACTTGTCCATCTCTAAGGCTGAAACAGCATTAACTTTGTCTTTTTTTACTGCAGTGTTTTTTCCAGAGGGTTTGCAAGAAGACCTCCTTATTTCTGAACAAGTATACCAAGTCTTCGCTGCAAAAAAAATGGAATCCAACAAATGGGAACTGAGAAAGGCACTGCACTCCAACGTGATACCCCTGCTGTCTCAACTACAGAGCCGAAATATATTCACTGACACGAATATAAGGGTATGTCTATTATCTGTTGTAGTCATTGACGGGAGGTCAGAATCAGATTGATTTGTTTTATTAAAAGATTAGAGAGTGGGATGGTGTGCAATCTGTATGTAACATGGAGGTGCGATGACCTTCATTAAGATGATCTATGTAAGGTGGTCCATGTATTCCATGAACCTGTCATACTTGCGTTTGTCCTCGGAAATATTTTTGTAGCAAAAGTAACATCACGTTCCCATCTGCACAATGAAATTACCTCACACTGCACATTATGTATAACGTCCTGACATAACCTCACGCATGATGACGTCATTGGGAGAAAATGGGGAGGTGCATGCGCATTGGCCACGAGGCCAGATGCAAAGTGAAGCCTTTTGGCACTAGCTGCCTCCAACTCTATGGTGACTTTTTAATCAATTTGGCCAACATCCTTCAAGACGAGTCCCTAATAGCAGCGAAACTTTAAAATAAACTCTTGTTCACATTGAGTCATCTTGATGATAAATTTTGTGCCCCCATATTACAAAATTACGAACAGAGTTAATAAGTTAACGTTTAACACTTTTAATTGGATAGTGTTAACATCATCAACGGATTGTGTTGTCATCGATGCACAAGCATCAAACGAAGTCAAACCTTTGCCATTAGCACTGCCATTTAACTGAAACACACACAGAGTAGCCTGGCAGTGGATCTGAAAATTTACTAATGCCTGGAACATCGCCCTGTTCTAAGCAACACGCTTTGTGCCTGTGTCGGTGTAGGAAGCGAAAGAAAGGGAGCAGTGGCAAGGCAGCGAGAAGGCGACTGAATACGTGCTGGAGCTGGTTTGCGTGAAAAGACATGTCAAACAATTCTGGATGGTGCTGTGGAATCTCCGTGAAACCTACCCACAATTGAAGGACATTTTTGAGCAATTCTAACTGGGGTGCAGGAAAAATGTGGTGCAGTAGTTAGAGCACATCGTTACCCATGGAATTTTGAACCCAATGTTGTTTAAATCTTTTTTCCCTCACACTACCTGTCTGTGGAATACCCCACCATCTTCTATTTACTCAAGTTCTTGTAAAAATCTTGATCAATCCATCATGATAATTTTTGTGCCCCCACATTACAAAACGACCCATCACATCTTATTAACTCCAATCTATTGCACCTTCAGCAGTGCAGTTTGTTGCTGGCAATTGCCTTTTCGGGCATTTCTTATCTTTTTGTGCCCTTGTTTCAATTTTAAAATGATGGTTGTCAATTAGATTTTTGATCAAATGGAGCATTAGGTAAGATGGAACATAAGTTAACATTGCACATTTGAAATATTCACCTTTGCGATTCAAATGCATTTTGTTTAAGCAGGTGAGAACTCAAGGGACCAGAATGAGTCTCATTTGCAAGAGTGACCTCGGTCACCAAAATGGCAAACACAATCAAATGAAACAATCACAACAGTGAATTAAACATAAATTCGTACAAAAATAAATGTTACAGACAAAATATACAAATGCATGAATATAAATTGATATTGAATTAAATACATTTTCGATAAGAAAATTAGCTCAGACAAATAGCTTTAAAAACAATCGTAGTAAATTAAGTTACAAAATTTTTTATTTAGGATATAATCAGATTTGTGAAGTTATCATACAGAATCGACAGCTCAGCATAAAATTGTGCTTGAGATAGACAAATAACCAATTACATTTTGCAGCAATGGAATTCATAACATTGACTGATATTATCTGTCCTATATGTATGGGATGGAGTGTTGCCCCTTCAACGTGTGCATTTTCTCCAGGTTCTCCATTTTCTCCAGTTTCCCACCACATGGGTGAATACTCATTCATTCTCTGAAAACATTAATCTCTGTCCCTGTGTTTGTGAACTATACAGCATTGTGGGAAGCAGTTGCATATATTATGCTATTTTAAAAATCAATATTATTAGTAATTCCATGAATTTAGGGCATTACATATTTGGTATATGTTTAACCTCTGGTGTTGTGGGGCACCTTTGACTTTGATATTTTGATTATTCATGGTGGGAGGAAGTGACTTAAGTCTGGTTCACAATTGCTTCTAGAACTATTTCGACTTAATGATTGCAACAGTCCTTGGAAAATAATCACAAAACGCCTTTGTCCTCACCATATCGACCATTCATGTTAAACAATTCCAGATCGTTTGTGGGAGGGCGGGCTACACCCCACATCGCCATGCTCATGGTGATGGTGCATGGCTTGGAGGCGTACTCGGTGTAAATATCCCGGGTTGTTGAATATGTAGTTGTTGAAACCATGCTTTATTTGGATGTAACTCATTCTGAGTCCTTTAAAGCTTCAACACAGAACACGCCTCAGCTTTTGCTGTGAACAGGCTCTAAGCATTTACTCCTCGTAGAAACATAATACATTTATTTGTGAGCGCTTTTATGAATACTCTATAGACGCTTTACATAAAATCATAAAAGCAGCAAAAACAACATCAAATGGTAAAAACACTAAAAACACATCAAACTTAGCTAAACATGCGTTTAGATTATATAGATTATTTTGCTGGTATAAATGTTATTATTTGTGGCCAGGTCGCTTTTGAAAAAAAGCTAATAGCTCAGTGGGCTTTACTTGGCAAGAAAAAATTATATAGTATTATTTGTGTATATATTTTAAGTGATTTGTTTATCTTTACTATACTTTACAGTCCTATCGTGGTTTTGTATTGTTTGTTTAAAAAATAGCTTTATAGCTCATTAGATCCCTCCAGTATGAATACATATTCTGATTTTTATTTGAAGTAAAGCTCTGCTCGTTAACGAAGATTGTGTCGAGCTTATGCTTAAATAATAGCTTATGCTTAAAGAAAGCACACAAATTACTCAGTGAGATGGGCATTACATCAAGACGTGCTGAGCAGGACAGCTCAAAGTCAAAGTGGCTTTACGCAATACAAGTTTATAAACATTATCGAAAACTTGCTGCTATACAGTTGGTAAATGTACTTTTTACATTACGTAAAACACGTTATTTGTATAACGACACATATATAAATCAAACATTGTCCACTTCTGTATTGTCCTACTTACAATCTCCCAAAAAAACGAATGATTACTTTACTAGGACCCATTTCTTAAAGAGAGGTTCCTTGCCGATATCATTTGTCAGTTCACCAGCATTGGTTCAAGCAAGCCTGAATGCTGATCAGACATTGAATGTGTAATCCGGATCCAGAGTGTTTGTGCTGAACGCATGCCACACGATCTTCTGGGATATATATCACAGATTATCTGATAATCTACTTTGATAATATGCAGTCATATTTAGAGCACACTTTAGAGCATGGATTTTTTATTGAGTCCCGGTGAATTGCAACATTGCTATTGGCCTTGCTAATAGCAATGCTGAGTCACACTGGGTGCAACACAAGAATTCACTGCGTGAGAATGACAGTCACCCATCACCACAGGTGGGGGCAGCAGAGAGACTGGGTGGTACACCGAGACATCTCTTCTTGGGCACCAAAGGTATTTTCACGAAGAGAGACACGAGGAGGTGGTCATGCCAGGTTGGGTTGTCTTGGTTACACGTCTATTGATACATATTCGTCAGCCAGTTGTCTTTGTTATCGTTTGACTTTTAACAAGTGCAGTTCTGAATGCTAATTTGCAGCACTTACTGAAAATGTCACGTTATTAAAGCACTTTTTATTATGACTTGTGTAGGTCTTGTGTGGTTTATTAGTCAATGTATCGATCAACATTTCTGAGGTTTACTGTTGCTGAGCTCTCTGAACTCTCTAAACTCATCCCCAACATCTATTATTTAATTATTAATACTACATGACGTAAATAACTGATTATTTCGTGTTTTACCTGAGTTAAATTTCCAGTCATGGGTACCATCAATGGTGGAAAATTTCTGAAACACTCATCTGTCCCCACCCTCCCG